GTACTTGTTTCCTGAGTACCACACCAATTTTCACACTTGAACGCCAACTTTTCTTGGTTAGTGGTTAGATCTAGAAATTTTCCAAGTTACTCAAGCTGAAGAACTTCTCTAAATAGTTCCCACTACTATTTGCATTTAGAACTTCTAATTTTTTGCATTTCTATAAGTAATCTTCAAAATCCATCCATCTCAAAAGGTTTTTTTCACTCCCAGGGTAAGGTACTACATTAGGGTCTAGGACCTGAAATGAAACTGTTTGCTTTTAATTTCAGTGGCAGAGAATTTAGCCCCAGTTCTTGGAACATCTACATCAGCTTCCTATGAGGTGGTAAATTCAGAGCTGACTCAACAAAATTCATGAAGACAAGATTAACTGTGCTTTTACTGAGCTAAAGGAAGGCACTGAGCTCTGCCTTTCTAAACAGAAGCATCTACCCAGCCCTTGAAGGTAAAGAAGATGCAGAAAGGTGCCTTCTGACCTGCAGCAGAAAGATTTCTAATGGTGATCTTCAACCATGGGAAGTTCACTTGGCAATTTAAGGGCCAAAGGCGGAGTGGCAATAGTGGGATGTGCCAAACTGAGCATTGAAACTTGCTCACATTTATCTCTCTTGATTTTAGATGCCTCTAATAAAGGGGATGTGCCCTATTTAAATAGTCCCTGGACTTCAGTGCTGGAAGGAGATTTGAGGGTTCATCTAGTCCATGCCTAGATGATCTTCATCACTACCACTGCTAAGGCTCTTACCTTGTCCCCTTCTCCATCATCATTCCTCAGACAGCTTCAAGTTATTTGGTTCTTTCTTTTGGAAAAGGTTTTCTAGACCCTTTTCTCATTCCCATTGCTGCTCCATGCTTTTCTCAGTGTGCAGTGCCCACAAGTAGGGGCAGCATCCTGTCCATGGCTTCACTGTCACAGCACAAAACAAGGGATTTCTTTATGTGTGCTGTACAGTTCAGGGTTAGATTTAAGTTTTTTCATGTGTGACATTGCCAGCTGGTCTTCATCATTCAGGGAACTGCTGGAAATACTGAATAACCAAAGACTCACCTGGGCACCACCTTTCAGTGCATCCTTCTCTTCTGGCAGTTAATCAGTGCCTCTCAATATGACCTTCCATTTGACATAGTTTTGAACCATTTTAAGGGCATTTTTCAGGAATTTTCCAATAAATTTCATACTGACCTCATAATTAATCTAGGTTATATTTCCATAACTTTACAGATAATATAAAAATTATTACTGAAATCAAGCAAAGAATTGGTATCTTGGGTAAGAAGCCCACTGCAGGGTGCACTTGTGCACTTTACAGGGTTAAATAGACTTGATTCACTATAATTTCCTGGTAATAAAAAGAAGAGGAGGAGCAAATATGACCATGCAATAATACACTTCATTTTCCAATTCCTCTTTTTTTATTTCCTCAGGCCAAGGGAATGATGATTGCAAATAAGAATAGGAAGGAAGTTGTCTGTACTACGCAGCTGTATTTGCATGGGAAAGTATTAAGGAACCCAGTCTAGGCATTGGTGTGTTAAGAACTCACTACATGGAAACTAAATATATCCAAGAGTTCATATTCCTCACATATTTATCTCACAACTCAGCATCAAAGAAAGGAACGGTCAATATGAGCCATGATGACCCATATCCAGGATGTTTGGAAGAAAAGACTGTTCTCAGTCACTAAACAATCCATTTAAATTCTGTTTTCAAACTCAGTATGGATTTTCAGGATGGATTTGTCTCATCCAGCCGGGGCTACCTAAAAGACCTCTTGTGCTGGTTTAACAGTTGCATGCAGATGGATGGGAGAGAAGGACAGAAGATAAGAGTGACTCATCTGGTGGATGTAGATGTTCAGAAGACGAGGTGAATCACTCTCTAGATGCCCTTATTGACTCTCCACTGACTCAAGGGGGAACTTTAACAACTGTACTGACCATACAACTCTCTCTTGAGTTGAACCCTGTGGACATGGTAAAGATGCTCCACTTAAGGCCTGAAATTTGTATGCCTTGTGTCAGCTCCATGTCACTTTTATGGGAAATAAAAAGTGATTAAAACCTTTTTGACATTTATAGATAATTAGGTTGGATGAAAATTTTCTCACGGTAATTTTGAGGAGGTGGTATAACTCAGGCTTCCCCAAACCTCTGCCCTGCAGCAGAGCTGGATGCTGCTGTGGAGGTTGGGAAGGGCCCTTGTGGGTGCACAGTGTGAGTTCACAACCACCACTACTGTAATTTTAAGGATGCAGAAGCAATATGCTGATTAACAGAGTTTAGGTAGCTGCTAGAGCCACCTGCACACCCTCCCTGGGAAGGTCCATATGAAACGTTATTCCTTGGAACACAGGACTCGCATAAGAGTGATTAACAGCAGAAAAGTTGAATAAAACTCAAAGCTTGCTTATTTCAGTGAGTTACACGGATGTTTACAGCTGCTTTAAAGTGGGAAGAGCTGCAGAAAGATCAGTGTTGCCCTTTCTTCAAGCTGCCTGAGAGACCAGTTTAAGGAAAGGACACTCCTCCAGACCAAATGAGTTTGTGCAGAGTCTTAAAAGCACTTACAGGGTTTCAAAAAGCCCTTGTTAAACCTAGACCTAGGAAGGCTGTAGCTGTGTTTGTGGTTTACTCCATGGCAACTCCATTTCTGTACTTGTGATCTTGTGATATTGAATAAAAATAATCTTTATAATCTTGTCTGTGGTGGCCTGAGCTATGTGACAGACTCGTTTCCTCCCAGCTCTCTGCTGAAACAGAGGACTTATCTAAGCAGCAAAACTCTGCTAATCAATGGAGGAAAGTCAAGGAGCAACAGATATCCCAGCACTTTCCTTCTACATCTTCCTTAATTCTCAAGATGCCTTTTTTCTTTTTTCTTTTTTTTTTTTCTCCACCACTGCCCAGATACCCACTGAGTTTTCACAGCACCTCCCATCCTTTATTGTCACACCTAATTCTGTTGCTAACATCTCATGTTGATAATCCAAATTGTAATGCTAGTTATGTTTTTTCTCTCAAAACCCCCAGTTTTTATCTGTGCCTGTGTGCCTTTTTCTCCTTGCTGGGTCTCTCTGCTCTCACTCTCCCCTTCTCTACCTTCAGCAAACTGACCTACTTCCAAAGCTGATCTGGCTAATTCTTCTCACAAACCATAACCATTTTTTTCTGAGCTTTAAGAGCTGTAAATGCTGAGTTACAGGTCTTTCTCATGCCATCTGTGTTTGTAGCAATGAGCCACGTGAAGCCACCATTCATTCCAGTACAATTGACTGTACTTTCCATTTATTCCTGGCTAAAAACTCACCTTTTCTGATAAAACCTTAGTGGCTGTTACTCAGCTGTGCTGAGGTTTGCTACCTGAAAACAAATGGCTGCATGAAAGATTGAGCTGGAGGACTGCAGAAAACATCCCTCATCTGTGTCCATCATTAAAATAGCTGTGGGATTAAATAGTTAGACCAAGCAAGAAATTGAAGCAGATGTTGGCAAGTAAATCCCTTCACCTCAAAAGAACAGACCCCATATTTAGTAAGGAAAGGATAAAAAGTTTGGGATTTCATTCCAGGCAACATAATAAATGTTTTACTAGTCCAAATGACTGCAGGGTTCAGGCAGTTACATATGTCAAGGCATCTTGGAAAAAAGTGAAGGATTGGGTTCTAAGACTTTCAGACAGAATTTTCAGGAGTGAAGTTCTCTAAGTCCTTCAGATGGCTTTGGCATGAGCTTTTCCTATTACACTGTTAAATATTGAAGATGATTTGATACTGAAGCAAAGGCAGGAAATACTGTGGAGCGTGAAGCAGCTCTGGGGTGAGCAGAGCATTTTACCCACAGCAGTTGCTTCAGAAATCTTACCTGTTCTCCATGCCCTGTTGCATTTGGATTTGAGAAGTAATCTCCTGGCAAAGCCTCGCAGCTGGCAAACCCTGCAGGAGGATTTGTCACCTGCATCACAAAGCTGCACAAAATCTCTCATGGAAAGAGCAAAGGGAAATTTATCAGGAGAAAGGTGGCAGACTGATGGATACAGCCACAGCAGCAGTTAAAAATGTATCACATCTATTCCTTAGCTTGCCTCTTAAGAATATTTAATTAATTGAGGATTTATAAAGGAGGAATAAATGCCCAGCATGTAATAATCATGATAGAATACCACAGATAGTTTAAATCTGTTTTTTTTTTCTATAGTCTATCCGATTTAGTTCTCTAGTTACTAACAGAAAATAATTTCTGTGTGAATGGCTGAAGAAAAACTACATAAAGTGTGACACTTCCTTGGTAATTTCCAGTTTTCCACTGGCATTTACAAAAATTTCACTGAAGCATGTGACACCCAGACAATTTAGGAGGAAGCAAAACCTTTTCCAAACCTGGCAGCCTCACCCTCATGTTTTTTGTTTTTGTTTTTGTTTTTTTTTTTTTTTTTAAATCAAGCTGTCCATCCTTCAGAAGCTCAGCTGTCATTCAGAGAAACTGCACACATGCCTCCATCCAAACTAAATGAAGTATGGCTTTATCATCCCTAATAGAAGACCTCTGAAACCCAAAAGGAGAAGCCATGGAACCTTTTCTTTGCTGGTAGCGCCCACAGATGTTGCCTGAGATCCACTGTCACACACCAGACATCTATTCCACAGCCCTGGTCCCTCTCTAGTACCTGTCCAGCCACAGATTTGGGGCCTGAACAAACCTATTAAAGCCTTCCTGCTTCTACTGACCTCAGCTGTAGTGAAATGTGACAGAGCTCTGGAGCCAGGAGCTCTGATGTGTCAAACCACTTCCTATACACGATGGCACACTCCGCCACAGCGAGCATCGAGTTTGGTTTCCTGGATAACAGACTAATACCTGAACAGAAAGCAGCCTTTGTTCTTTCCCGTGGAGCCAGCAAAATGATGATTTGCTGACCAAAGCCCTTGCTGCACACGTGGGTGATGCTCCCAGACAGCCTCATCAGGCAGTAATCAGCTCCTTGGCTTAGCTGGCAACAGCTCATCGCTTCTGAGAAACTTCACCATCCTCAGAGGTGTGGAGAAAAGATGGGGACAAGTGCCATGGAGATCAAGTGGCTTTTGATGTGGCTCTTGTTTGGATTCGTCAAGGGGAGCAGGCCAGGTAAAAGACTCTTTTTTGCCTTTTGGGGAGGGAAAAAATGATTTGGGTTTTTTGGTGGCTGAAGAGGGTGTTCACAACATCCTGACTCCTTTCAGCAAAGGAAAGATGCTAAGGAGCTTAAGGATTTTATTATTCTAAGGAAATGAGAGAAATGGGTTCTGTGCCCACAAGCTGTCAACTGCAGAAAATCCAGAGCTTTAGAGGATATTTTTTGTCTGACTAATGTATGTATCCTCCAACCCATCGCTGGAACAGTGGGCAGATCAAAGCAGCCTGAGGCAGCCCTTTGAATTTCCTTTTTCCATTTTGCTTGTAAGTTTAGGAAACAAAAATAGACACTGAAATGCCAGCACCCCTGTAGGTAAAATTGATGGCAATGCTATTAGTTAAAAGGTATCATCCAAATTTGCTATGGGTACTATGGATATGAAATATTTTTTCAGCCATGCCTCTCAATCAGCAGTGCCTGTAAACTGTGAATGGAGACAGCTAATCCAATTCAGCTTGATTTTACACATTTATAAATGGTGACACTGCTTAGATTTGGCTTATTTATTGTGACAAGTGTGTGCATTGAGAAATGGTCTGGTGATGCATTAGTGTATTTAAATTTAAACTGCTTTGTTCAAAGGCAGGAAAAAAAAAAAAAATACCCCTTCCATTCTCAGTGTTCCACAAATGTGATATTTCTTTCTGTGTCTGATGATGATGTCCAGGCTGGGAGGTATGAACAGACACAGCCTAAGGCAGGCTCTCAGATATGCTGGTACTCTTACTGCTGATGGATCATCCTTAGCAGGGCTGGGAATTTTCCTCAAGGCTGGCCATCTCAGGGGAGGAGTGTGTTGCTAATGACTGAACTGATTAATGCAGGAAGGACCTTCACAAATGTTGAAGCTCCAGGTGATTTTTATTCTCATTATTTTGCCAGTAAATGCTGCACCTTCTCCTTTCACTGCCAGCTGAGGAGCCAGAGCCCATGGGAAGTGTTTGGTGCTGCGTGCAGGAGCAGCACCACGAGCTGCTCAGCCAGAGATGTGTCAGTGGGATCAGTTCTGGGATGAGTCAGGTCCCCCAGATCACACTTTCTGTATTACTCTGCCTGGAACATGTTGTGAAATTTCTTTCTGGCAGTTCTCATTTATCAGAAACCTTTCTGTTTTTTTGGAAAAAAAAAATCGAGGGGTGTCAGAGCAGTTGCATTTTATGCTATTTCATGTAATTTTATTCACCACTGAATGAATTAATGCACAGGATTCCATTCCCCACTGTATGTCTAAGCTCTTCTTTCCTCAGCTTCTTACACTTATTTTCAATGTCTCTCCCAATGATTAAACATAATATTTATATATATACATATGTATATTTGTAATTTCTCCATGCAAATAATATGCTAAGGTAGAAACACCACCTTTTACCAATTTAGGGGCTTTTAATCATGGAGATACTTAAGGCATTTTGACTGTAAGATCTGTTGATTTAATTCCTTAGGGGGATCAACAAGGAGACCCAGGAATAGACATAAGCAAAGCAAAGGGAAAGGGGCTGGGTCAAACTGGTCAAAAATCAACCAGGTCTCAGCACATACAGTGCTTTTTTTATTATTTTGCCTTAGTATTTTCACCTTGTCCCAGCACTGCAAGTTCAGTTTTGTAAATACATCCAGCCCTAGATGGTGTTTGTCAAAATGCACTATCAGGAATAAATATAATTAGAGGGACAAGGAAATAAAAACCATTTGTTTTACAGAACAATTTCACTGAGAGGTCTCAAAGTGTCTTGAGAGGAAAAAGTCCTGGGAAGTTAAGGAATGGGACGACCATTCATTTAATAAAAATTAAACTACACCTTAGTGCTAAAAGGAAGAGAAATGCTGGTTTTCCTGTGAAGAGTATCACATTTGTCTCCTTTGTTTTGCACAGCATCAGTGCCTAGAAGATGCAGGCATGGTTGAAGCCTGAAGTGAGGGTCAAACACAAGGTAAAAGCTGGTCTGTGCTCCTACAACCTTTCCATCTTGCTGTTCATCATACAGGAATACACTGAGCAGACTTGCAACTTAAACCTGGAAAGGATTAAAACTCACGAAAGAAAGAAATTCATTCAAGTGAATTTCATTCACACAAGATGGGTACCAGATCTCAGTCATGTAAATGAGAGGAATTTCTTTCCCATTATACTTGCATATTAGTGCTGGCTCCCATGGATTTGAAATGCAATGCAGAATACATTAAAGTTGTCAAACACACACAAGTGATTGTTCTAAGATCAATTAGAGAGCAAATACCTTTATAAACCTTTCAGCTACAGTGGCCTTCAGCAACAAAGGGCTCAATATACAGCTAAAAGTAAAAAAAAAGTTTAAAAAATGTTTTTAAAGTGTGATCCTACTGAGGAAAAGCAGATATTAGAGACAGATGGAGATCCAGCAGTGCCTGCTTCTTCAGCTGGAGGAATTGTTATGTCCCTTTTCCTTTTATTGCAGAAAAAAATCTACTCTTTTCTACTTTTAGAAAGCCACTGCTGGCTTTGCTCACTGTTGCCTTCAGATTGTTGTTATTTTGGTCTCCCTACCTCCTCAGTGTTCAGCTTTGTCTGCCCTGTTCTCCCTGTTGCATTAATGCTATCTTCAGAGCCCAGCTTCTGGATATTTTCCATTCCCTGACCTTGGTCCTGAATTTTGGAACAACGTGGCTCACTGAGTCTTTGCTCTATCTCCTCCAATGCTTCCCCAAAACCTCACATCTCCAAAGTCCTTCCATGACTTTCCTCACTTGACTCCCTGTTCCTCAGCCCTGCCAGGGGAGCAGCACTCAGTCATCTGCTGCTTTTTCTTGATTTGTAAAGTGTGAGCCTTCACATAAAGAATATATAACCCTCTGTATGTGGAAAAACACTTCATGCACGACATCAGAAAAATCATTGCCATGTGCAGAAAATTTCCATTTCACTTTTGAGATCTCCAGGGCAAGGCTCCATAACCATGCAAAGTCCCTAAGTCAGGTGAGATGAAACCTTAGGGCATATTTGAAATCAAAATTTCCCCACTAGGCCTATTTTTTTCCCACTTTCCCAAGACTGGGACACACACATGTCAGACCATTCAGTTATTTTCAGAGAGGCTATTCTCTACTGCCTTTCAGCCCTACAAAAAGCAAGACTGAGAAAATTCCAGACAAAGGAGAGAATCTGTATCTCTGCTGTTGTTTAAAAAGAAAATTTTTGTTTCTTTTTTGATGAAAACATCAAAGACATGTTACTGAGATTGTCTATTTAAGCAGAAGTGTCACACCAAAACAAGGCTTTCATGTGTGATATTCTCAAAACTTGGCTCTGTGTTTTGCTACAAAACCATGTGCTATGATTGCATTTAGAGAGTCTGAGCTCTGTGGCTTTACCACGGAACCACTGATGTTATAAACACCCAGAAACAAAAACAAGTGTTCCCCATGCTTTACTTATTGCACTTTCTATGCAGCATACAGTGCTCAGGCTAGTTTTCCTCCCTCTTCCTCCTTTGCTAATGTTCCTAGTTTTCCTCCCTCTTCCTTCTTTGCTAATGTTCCCTCTTCCAATTCCACATTTTGAGTTCAAGTCCCCAGCCCAGCCTCTCTGTTTGGGCAGGTGTGAGATCCATCAGTGCATCAGGTAAACCACTCTGATTATCAATGTGAGCATGTAGGAACATTCTTCCACCACTGCAGCTGATAAAAAGAAAGGAGCACCTTAAAGCTTTGCTTTGGAGAAGGTAAATTAGGTGACTGCTGTGCTCTAGAGAGGTTTGCCCAGCTCCACTTCTCACAGAAGGAGCTAAGAAGGCACATTCCAGAGGCCAAATTCTACTTAGCTTGACAAAGCTTAGTCCACTGTGCAACCTGCTCTAGCCTTGCTGTAGATGGAATTTTTTTTGCATTAGATTCCACTGCCTAGGTCAATGGCAAACAGCTGGTCAGCAGGATTAAGCCAAGAGGTAAAAGAAGTTTATTTCCCCCAAACAAAGTTTTTTTGTAGTCCTAGAGCTCCTGTCAGTTCATATTCCACTTTATTTTACACTGTTTTTTAAACAGAGACATCTGGCACAGCGAACTCAGCAGGGACTGAACTGCCAGATCCTTAGAACAGGACATTCTTGTTCTCCACTGCTGGGAATATTCAAACCCACCTCCATCCCCCCAAGGCTGGTCTCTCCTCCATTGCTGTTCGTATTAAAACTTGCACCTGCTCATTTTATCTGCACTGTATTTCTGTCACTTACACTGCAGACTCACTATTACTCAAATTGTGTTTTAAAATAATCTCTCTATAATCTAAGGAACAGTTAATTATAATCTCACAGGCAAATTACAATAAAGTTGGGGTCTGTTCCCCAACCCCACCTTTGGGATCTGTTCCCATCTTACAAATTCACATAAGCAATACATGACATTAATGGGGGAAAGAATCCTGCAGAGCTGAGGCTTGCTTGTTAAACGATCCTTTAGGATCCTTTAACAAGCAAGGAATAGGATTTGAAATTAGGAAAAGTTCATTACCCTTTCAGTCCTGTTGTCGGTATCAATTCCTTCGCTTTGCCTGTACCAGTTTCATCTTCATGAGACTGCACCATTTAGAGAGCTCAGTTTCTCACAGCACACAAATCCCCAGGGCTGATTTAGCTTTTCAGGCACAGCTGGGGAAGTATCTTCATTTTCAACTGGTTTGATTTGTTGTTGTCTCTGGGGAGAGGTGCTCTCTTCATCTCTGAACTGGGCAGGTGTGTGCAGTACCTGGTTTCTCCCACTGCTTCTGCCCAAAACTTCGGAGCATCCAGTTTCCTACCAATCCCATCCTACTGCCTTTGTAGGAAGGGGAAAATTGTTCTATTTTTGCACCTTGCTGCTTTAACTTGAGATCAGAATAATGTCAGTGCTGGTGACACACAGCCACGTGACAGAGGAAGTTCTGAGTTCAGGTTAGTGTGGCGTGACTCACTGTCTGTGTTTTACCTAACGCTAAAAATACCTGTTACAAATTTTCCACACTCGCTTCTTGTGGACTGAAGGTGTTGTTTTAGAGCCTCATCTGTCACTGCTCTGCCAGCTCAGATGTGGAAGAGAAACAGAAGGGAGGGTTTCATGAAGCCTGGTACTGCCAGCACACCCACCAAGAGCAGTTTTGTGGTTGGGTGAGTAACACAGGTGAATGGGAAATGTGAGGGAAGAAATCTGAAAGAACTGGTGCTGATTTAAATGCTGGGTTTCTTTCCCTCCAGCATCTTCTGTCTGATATCTGACAGCTCCTGTGGAAATCCCAAATGCCCTGAGACATCTCAAATGGCATCAGACACCCCAGATCACACCTATCTGTTGGCTCAGATGACAAGGCTTTCAGGTCTCAAAAAACTTTTCAAACCTAATTTAGGGAGCACTCCAGCAGAACCAAGAACTACTTTTTAATTATGTTTCATGGCTGCCTATTGTCCCAATACACAATCTCCTGATTCAAAGGGTTTGTCTCCATCCACTCCATCATAATAATTATAACTACCTCCAGAATTTCCACAAATACTGTAGGTACCAAAAATCCATGAAGATGGGGGGAGAAACAGAAATTCCCATCTGTTTTAGGACAGCTAAGTGTTCTCATAATTCTGCAACTGACAGAAAGGCAAAATCCCTGTGAACACAATTACAGCAACCTCTCTGTTTGGCCCATTTACTACCTCTAAGTGCAGAGAAATGGAGTCCCAGGACACTTTTGGGGTATGGGAAGTGAGAATAATTGGTAGGGACTGATGAATTTTGTGAATGAAGGAATGAGAGAACAGTGAACATCAGGATGGCAAGAGAAGGAAATAGTGGCACACAACACCTTGTCACGGGGACGAAAAATTGGAATATGTGCAAGGGAAAATAAGGAGGCAATGAAACATCAAGACATCTCAAGGTAATGTGAGGGCAGTATTTCAAACCAGTAATAGCAGGAGTGCAGTCCTGGAGAAGGTGAGAAGGCTGTGAGGCAGGTTATGCCCAGATATGCTGACCTCTTAAAAGACTAATATTTTCATATCACACCAACTCAAACAAGTTGATTGGCTAATTCCCAACAGGTTGCAAAACAACAAAAAACCCCAGAAAACAAAGCTAATCTTCCCTAAAAATGTAAAAAGTCAGAAATTTGGTGAGGGAGAAAAAATCTACGCTGCCATTCCCTATTCCCTGGATTCTTCCAATCCCTTGCCTATTTTCCCACTCACACAGCAATGATGTTGATTTTTTTTAGGGGTAAATGATGTAGTCTTCTTGGGGACAAAGATGGAATGAAGTTCTAGGCACAATTCACTCCAGAGGTCAGTACGGTCCAGACCTCACCAGGTCTGCATCCTCTCTGCAGTCTTCCCAAACTATTCCAGGAGGTGCCATGACATGAAACTGAAGAAAGACATGGAGATGCTGGAACAGGTCCAGTGGAGCTGGGGAAGGGTTTGGAGCACAGGTCTGATGAGGAGAGGCTGAGGGATCTGGGGGAGCTCAGCCTGGAGAAAATGAGGCTCGGGGAGGATCTTTTCACTCCCTAAAATTGCCTGGCAGGAGGGTGCATGGGTTACATGCTGAGTGCCTACTTTTTCTAGAAAGAGGAGTAAAAACCACATAAAGACAAGGACTTCTGAAGATATATAAGATATTTTGAAGAGCAGTCATAGCAAAGGATATTTTGCAATATCTGTATTCATTCACGGCTCCTCCCAGTGTGAGGACTGGTACAACAATAAACCCAAAAGTTGACGGCTTTGATCAAACACATTGGTGAGAAGTATGGGAGGATAAGATAATGTTTTAAAAGGTTATGATGGTTGCAAAGGAGAAGGTTCTTGAAAATGGGAGCAAAATATTTTATGTGACAATAAAGCAGTTAAAAGTCAAAAGGAGGCAGGCACAAGGTCACAACAAAACCTGGGAAATTCCTCTTTCAAAATTCTTTCTGGATAGGAGAAAGGAATATGGTTGTAAAGGTCAAAGAAGATACTGCAGTTATTTAGATGTGAGAAGACAAGAACTTGAGCAATGTGGATGAAATTAAAAGGCTGGATCCAAGAAAGGTTGTGTGTGATCCAGCTGCAGTGTGGATGTTCACCATCTCCCAAGTGCACCATTTCTGCACAATCCGTGGCTGATATGTGCAAGTTCAGAGGAACCCAACGACTGATCATCAATTAAAAGAATGTTTGCCCTTTATGATGAGTCGGTTAAATGTTGTGGGTTTTCTTAAGAAGAGACTAATGAGTTGTAGCTTTGAGTGCCTTGTGCTGAGATTCAGATCTGCAATCTGCTTCAAAGAGGCTTTTGAAGTCTTGAGGGAAACAAGCTTTTAGCTTTTAGGGAAAGTGAGAGTACATGATCTCAACTTGCTGCTGATCTGATAACTCTTTAATTTTAATCACCCTGACAGTCTGTGGTAAACCATGTGGTTAACTATTTCGGGTGCAGTCGCTTCTCTCAAAGCCACAGTCTGATGTCGTTTACAAGGCAAATCCTTTGATAACACAGAGGTACAAGGGGATTAAAACAACCCTTATGCAGATTAGGTGTTAAACTGCTCACAAACCTTTCATTGTTGCCTTCTTCAAACTTTGTGACTTACTAAACAGCAAGACAATGTAAAATAAAAAGGGCAGAAAATATCGACGCGAGGAAATGAAAGAAAAAGGCATTGCAGGGCTGGGGGTGGGAGTCACAGGTTGAGTTGCTGTTGGTCGTTCAAGGAGAAAGCACTTTTGGGAGCACAAGGGCAGACACCAAATGATGAACAACTATCAGGGACTTGATGGCCTTTGGCAGTCATTCCTGCTGTTTGCTAAGGCTGCATTAATTATGGGTGCAGAAAGTGTGAGGATATGATGACTAAGAAATCTCACTCCTGATAGCTGTTACTCTTGTGCATAAGCATAAAGGGCCACAGATCATGCACCCAAAGATAAAGAGTGCCAGGCCTGGTGCAACCAGACTATTTGAGCCTTTAATTTCTCAGCCTTTAGGCCTTAAATAATAATTAAGTAGTGCCTTTACCAACCTCTGGGTTCCCAGCTCAGCTTGAGCAGGCTTTACAAGTGCACTGAAATGATCTAACTTAATTCATTCCAGCTGATTAAGAAGTATATTTAGATATGATTTGCTGATGACACAACACTTCACGTCTTTGTTTTGGGACAAGTTATATTTAGGTTTGCAAACTTATTTCACAGTAAGCTGCTCTTTGGTGTCCTCAGACGGAACTGAGAGTCTGTGCCCATTCCCAATGTTTGCTCATAGATGATTGCAACTTTTAATTGCTTACTTTTGCCTATTGTGCCTCACTCCATGACTGAGGGCTGCACACTGTGGTGGTTGTGACTGCTTTCCAAAACAATTATGTACAACTTCATTAAGAAAATGTTGATAATAATGATTCTTCATGAAGAAAATGTTTCATGTTTTCCATCTGCTGGACATGTCTGGTATTGAGAACAGGGAAGTCCTTGATCCATAAAGTAAAATGCCAGGCTGTCCTGACTCTCAGGCTTTCTATTTGCAGGCGTATGCCCACGTGTTCCACCGAGTGAATTTGCTGATGTTACTGCCGACGTGTATCCACTACAGACCAAACTGTACTATACCTGTGACCCTGGCTATGGCAGAGAGGCTAGTGTATACCTAGGAATTGAGTGTAAGAGTCAACAGCAGGGTGCTGTTTGGGAACACCAACCATTTAAATGCATTGGTGAGTGAGTGCTGTTTTTTTTCTATACATAGAGGTGTTTCTCCTCCATGTGTAACTTGGTATAAAACTAATCTGGGCATTAACAAAAGATCTTTTGTGCTTATTTTTCTAAGTTAGAACTTGCAACAGTTTTACCCAACCTCTAGAAGCTTGGGTGCTCTGGCACTTTGTTCTGATATTTGTCTTGCAGTAACTCAACAAATATAACTTCTCCACAGATATGAAAAATTTATCAGCAATGGCTTTCAAGACAGAGTTAGAACTTACACAGAAGCCAGAAATAGAACCAATGAGCCCTGCACCCCAGAAGCAAGAAGACCTTTCAGAGTCCACACCAAAAAGTAAATAAGAGCTCATTCAATACTTCTCCTGCTGATTTCCATGGTAGTAATGTAAAAATGGTGAATAATATTTAATTATTTTGCAGACAGAGGGAAAGAAATTATTTCTGTAATATCTTGGCTGAATAAGCTGGTACAGTATAAGCAAATGAGTATTTTATATCCTAACTAAGAATTATAAAGGCTTGCAGGATCTTGCTTGTCTCTATTTCCTAAGAACACAAAATTTTCAAGAAGAGAAGCACTGTGCAAAATCTGTCTGCTTTAACCGTGTGCTGCCTTGTGCTCCCACAGATTTCTGTGGTCCTCCCAAGACTATTCCACATGCCTCCATAAGGCTGCCCCAGCAGCATTACGTGGGACAAGTCTTACATTTCAAATGCCAGACAGGTTATGATAAGAGACCCCCCACCTCTGGCAGCAGGACGTGCAAGGAAGTGGATGGCAAAACCTTCTGGACCCACCTTGATCTGAGATGCACCAATGACACCAACCAGTGGCCACCACAGACCATTGGGCCAGGTAAGACGGTTGTGATTAACCACAGCAATGTCCTGACCTACTCATGTGGGGTTCAGACCCCCCAGCTGTCATGGGGAGAGTGGGAGCTTCAAAAAAAGTTTACTAAAGAAGCCCTGCCACTGATGGAAGAAAGAACTCCCTTGTATGTTTAAACAGCTTAATAGAAAGGGGTTGAAATGAAGGCAAATCCTTCCTCAGCCTCAGATTTTGTCAGCAGTTTAAATTTAAGGAATCATTCTGTCCTGCAAGTTCTGTTGATGAATCAGATGTAATTATATATAAAAAAAAAAAAAATCAGATGTAATTATATAAAAAGGAGTTGTTTATTAAGACATATGAACAGGAAGTAACAGACAAAAGACTTTCATCAGAATTACTTACTACACAGTATAAAATTAAAGTAACTACTAGTAGATTATAGCATAATATAAAACAGTATCAAGATACCTATATTAAAGCCAACAAAAGAAACAGTACTGATTAGGAGTCAAATGTAATTTACCACTGAAATAATCATAATGTACACAGGCAGATTCCTTCACTTAATCCCTCGGGAAGTATCTGTGAAATAGGTGTCCCTACTCACGGGAGAAACTCCACATATTTCCAGGAAAATGTACAGATTTCTGCTTTGTGAAAGCTTGCTGTGGCTTTTATATCTGTAAAATGAATGGCTGGCAGTGAGAAATTCAGCCTATTTTGTCATTCCAGCCCTTGTGACCATACCAGACCACTGCATACCCTGTTTCAGCATCAGCCCAGCACTTTCTCCCCTATTTCATAGATCTATTCCCCTGTGGTGCCTGGTTCAGAGTGTTCCTGCTACAGAATGATACCATTGAAAATTTCACTTGGTGCTATCAGGATAAAAGAATTTCTTGCTCTCATAGGTAAAGCCCATCAACAAACCAGTCCTAGAAAATAATACAGCCTATTGGAATTACATCTATTTAAAAACTACAAATATTTTAGGAATTTTAAATTGGGATTGTGAAAAACATGGGACTGGATAACAAAAGAAGCCCCCTTGGCCTTTAATTTAACGAAACAGTAATTCCAGTTTCCTGCAAAATTCTCTCAAACCTCAGCAAGGTCAGGTCCTTGCGAGTACCAAATGTTTATTCCCCTTAAGTGTTGCCTTTGTATTTGTTATGATCTGATGTCTGTAATGAGGCTAGAACTTTCTCAGTTTTCCTTCAGCATTCAGCACAAAAAAAATATTTTTACACTATTACAGGGCATCTTGTTAAAAACTTTGCCCTATATCAGGGCAAGTTCAGAGCTTCCTTTTCAGGATAAGAGAGAAATTAATTTCTTGCACCAGGGAAGGTTTAGCTTACATTTCTGGACAAAAACAGGTCCTGGTTGAAACCATGTTTCCAAGTACTAGCTTGACACCTTGAAAGTCATCCTTCCACTCTTATATGAAGTAAAGATCTTAGATGGATCCCATTCCAGTTCACTTCATGCCCACCATTAACAGGGATCAGGTTAGCAGATATGTTGGTATCCAGGCTGGAAAGATCTGCTGATGGCCAAGAAACAAACATGGCAATTTTAAAGTGTTCTGTCAGACTCCACCCTTGGCACTGCTTTGGTGCTGGAATGAGCTGGGCTTGGTGCTTTGGTGCTGGAATGAGCTGGCTCTTTGCCTGACTCTGTCCTCAGCACTGCTCCGGTGCTCTTCATCAGGAGAGCAAATTGATACAAAAATCACGAATTTTTCTCTCTTCATAGGTTTGAATCTTCTGTCCTCTTTCCCTTCCTCATCAGGGACACTGCCAGTGACAGGTATGCCATTTTATTAAAGACTTCACCACCCAGAGCACTTAGTTGGTCTTTCAGTTTGTTGTTCTATTCCAAAGAGATCCATTTCTGTTAGAAGAGTTGCTAAATATGCTGCAAGACAAATCTATACCCATGTATGTTGTGAGAAGGTAGTAAAGACAGTATAAACAGATTGTTTAAGCACTTAAGCTTTTATAAAGAAATTTTCAAATATTTGTAAGGAATCTAAAAGAAAACAATCAACCAAAAATCTGTTTTTTAAATGGAGACATTTTCAGATTCTTCTCTGAGACTTTCTGTGAATTCAGCGAATCACTTCAAGTGGAAAAAAACAGAAAAAAAAAGTAAATATTTAAATGCTGAGGTTTTTTCACATTTTCAAAGGCATAAAAAAGATGGGCAAATAGAACATTTCTTCACGGCTAAACCAATGCATTTAGATCAGTCTGAAGACATTTTCTTCTCCCCCTTCCCCATCTTCCACTCAGCCATTAGCTGATGAAGTAGAAATTGTGTCTTACTGTGCATATGCTCAAGACTTTGCACAAGGGCTCTTGATTCCAGCTGGAGTCTGTCAAAAACTGTAGTGCACATTATGGTGAGAGGGAATAATGGAGTGAGATGAAGGAAGGGAAGGAGGAGGTTTGCAAACTACTCCAGAGACCACAACATCAGCAGTCCCTGGTTATTTGACTGTGGTCAATCTCTAGTTGCCCAAATACCCTCTGCTTGGGTCCTGGGAGCCATGGGAAAACATGGAAAAATTCCTGCCTCTGGGCAGAGGGGCAAGATGAGACCCTATCCTTAATCTTGCCTGTTTCTCCCAGCTGGAGTAAATATAATAATTAAGGTAACTCCAGGTGCTAACCATATTGATTTTCAGGTTTTACAGCTATCTGGTTTGTTCTGCTTATCATTCCCACTGCCTTTGTGTGACTCAGCAAGCAGCCAAAAAGGTAAGTGGGACAGAATGAGGAAAACATGAAATCTAACCAAAAAAATCCCTAGAGGTGGAAGAGTTGTCAACTGGATCAGCCTTTCCCTACTGCACTGCTTAGATTTCTGGACATCTTCTTTGGTGTTAAATATGAGTTAGGATTTTGGGATTGTCTGATTCAGCTGTTAAATACTGGCACAAAAAGAGGAGGAATCAAATAAAAAAAAAAATCTTAGAACAAGTTGCCCGGAGAGGTTGTGGACTCCTCATCCCTGGAAGTGTCCAAGGCCAGGTTGGATGGAGCAGCCTGGTTTAGTGGAAGGTGTTCCTGTCCATGGCAGGGGAGTGGAATGAGATGGGCTTTAAGATCCCTTCAAACCCAAATAATTCTGTGATTCTCTAATTCTAAAATGAAGTGTTTGTCCCAGCCATTGTGGAACTGAGAATGGCAGTTCAGTAATGGGGGGGAGATTAATTCTGTGGGAAAATTAAGGTTAGCTATGCAAATACATTGTTTCACATAGGTTATGCAATCAGTCTTTTTCTCTCTGGCCAAACTGTGGGAAGTCTGGGGAGCATCTGCCACCACAACCACGTAATTCTGTTGACTTCTTCCCCCTAATTTCAGAGTTGTGTCATGACAACTTTGTACTTCAGATTTATTTCAGTCTGGCCTCCTCCCTGTTTCTGTTTCTACACTGAGATGCACCAAGGCACCTGTTCATAGGCTCCCCTGCCTAGTTAAGCCAAGATGTTCCTATTTAACATTTGGGAATTCTCCTCTTCTCCTCTCTCTTTAATAATCCTCATCCCTGTTTCTCTTCATGTTCCTTACTAATTACAAGTGCTTCTTAGCTGAATGGAGATTTTTCTTGAAAAGTGGGAAGGGAGGACCTTGTGAAACCACATTAGAAGTGGAATTTTGTCAATTCATGGCTGGATAAAGTGTAAACAATGCTTTGAAATGTGCTTTAGTGAAGATAGTCAACCATGGTGCAGATTGCCTGGGCCATTGTAGGATTTCTGAAAATGTGCTATGTGACAAAGTGTCAAGAATGATCTATATTGTACTGGCTCTGTGGTGGAACAAAGGTGAAATAGCCAATGCCAGATGAAATAGGAACTGACAAATGAAAGAGTAACTGAGATCCTAAATGGTGTCATCTGCAAAAAATACTCTGTTGTTTCTCATAGTAAATATAGAAGAAGCCATAGAAAACCTGCTTCTTCCCACCTATAAAAAAGTGTTTTTCCTGTTGTAGGGAAGACTTCTCAGGGAATTGTGGCATTCAGATGCAGACTTGTGAAATTAATGACTTGCCACAGAAGAAACCAGATTGTAGCAGAGACCCCAAGACCAGCAGTGGCAAACAAGGAGGAAGCCTGGACACTCAAATCCAATGTGTAAAGGTGGCAGAAGATGTTACAGCTCAGCTCTTATGGGGACAGCATGACTTTCCACCTACAGAGTGTTGGTAGGAGGACTGCACCCCATCACTGACTGCTGGGGAAAGAGCCCTGCCTGAAACTGCTTCCCAAACCCACTTCTCCTCCTCCTACGACACAGCAGATGTATTTCTAATATAACTGCAGCCCCTCCCAAGCCACCAGGAGTACATATGGACCATTCTCCCTAGCATTAATTGATGCCACTGTCATTTCAGCCCACACACCATCCTCCCCACAAACAGAGCAGCTTTGCTGGACACCTGATGTCCCCCTGCCTCTTCCCCACCCAGGTGGGCCAGGCGCAGGCACACCTTTCTCCTCAAATTGTTCCCCTTGGAAATTAAACCCCTTCACCCCCTGCACTGCAGTTGAAAATCTGACTGGATTCCCTTATGGTTTACTATATACATGCATTCCTCATCACTCCCCTCTTCCCAGTTATTTTGGATTTGTGCCTTCCATGAGAGTTCCTCCATCATTCCTCCAGATCAGGCAAGGATGATGCAGATCATGGTGGCTGATTAATCTGGCAGCTCCTTTTGTATCTGCAGAGAGTGAGAGAGCCCCGCACAAAGGCATCTGAGGACAGGCTCAAGAGCACACCCAGTACTTGACATGTTCTTGTATTATTGGGAATTTGCAAGGTCTGGATATTCTTCTGCCTCTTTTTAGCCATGCTCAGCTGGGTAAGATGGGTTTCACCTGGATGAATGCAAGTATCTGTGTCCCAGGCAGGCAGTGGGGAGGAACAAGTCTCTTTGGAGAGCAGTTCTTCTCACCTTATTGCCTATATATATATATAATAATAATAATAAATATATATTATATATAATAATACATATATTATTATTCTGTAATATATGTATGTGAATATGTATTTATTTTTACACACACACAGACGTATAGTTATTTATGTATATGTACAGGTCAAATGACTCGGGGTCTTAACCACTTTCTCTGCATTGACTTTAACAATGCCCAGATTGACCAGATTAACTACAGATACTTACATGGCATATGACAAGAGCCAAATGGGGTGGATCCCTTCCTTATAATTCATAAGACATGAGGAGGTTTTGGTCTAGTTTTCTGTTTCAAAATAGTGTATGTGTCATTGCTTTACTGGTTAGTATTCCTGTTGAGTTATTCTCACTCTATAGCCTTGATGTTTGTATTTCCCATGGCTTTTTTATTCTTGTTGGGAGAGGATTTATTTGTAGTAAGTATCTTATTGCATGAACCCTCAGTAAATTCATGGACAATGTCAAGTATGCTGGGAATGTTAATTTGCTGGAAGGTAGGAAGGGTCTGCTGAAGGATCTGGACAGGCTGGATCGATGGTGGGAGGCCAATGGAATGAGGTTCAACAAGATCAAGTGCTGGGTCTTACATTTTAGCCACAATAACTCCAGGCAGTTCTACAGGCTGGGCCAAAGTGGCTGGAAAGTGTCCCAGTGGGAAAGGACCGGGCGGGCTGGTGACACATGAGTCAGCTGTGCCCAGGTGATCAAGAAGGCTGATGGCATCGTGACTTGTATCAGCAGCAGTGTGGCCAGCAGGACCAGGGCAGGGATTGCCCTCCTGTAGTTGGCACTGGGGAAATCCCACCCTGAGTCCTGTGTCCAGGTCAGGTATGATGTTGAGGTGCTGGTGAGTCCAGAGAAGGACAATGAAGCTAATTAAGGTCCTGGTGGGCAAGTCCTGTGAGGAGTGGCTGAGGGAGATGGGATTGTTTATCCCAGACAAAAACAGGTTCAGGAGAGACTTTATTGCTCTCTGCCACTCTGGTGTGTGTCTGCCACTTCTCCCAGGGAACCAGCAACAGGATGAGAGGACCCAGCCTCAAGCTGCTCCAGGGGAGGTTCAAACTGGACCTCAGGAAGAATTTCTTCACTGAAAGGGTGGTTAAGCATTGGAATATGGTGCCCAGGGAGGGTGTGGAATCACCATCCCTGAAAGTGTTCATGAAATGACTGGATATGACACATGGTGTCACAAGGTGGTCAAAGATTGGACTCAATCATTTTGGAGGTCTTTTCCAACCTAATTTATTCTGTGACATGGCCCTTCACTCTGAATGAGAAGGAGGGCTTGAAGAGAAAAGTAGAGGCAGCACGGGTAAATAGGAAGCCATTTCCTCTTCCCCGTCCTTCCTCCTTTTCTTTCTTCTTTTCCGCAGGCTTGGATGGCAGCAAAGGAGATAAACCCTGAAGAGGTCAGTGTTGGAAGTGAGGGGAGAAGCCATTCACACAGGCAGTGGGTATTCAAAGAGAAACTCTCCATTTGACAATGCTGGCTTCTAGATGGCTTAGAAACATAAAAACAAAATTTGGTTTTAAAAGAGAGCTTTTAATTTATGTCAGATATGAAAGTACCTGTAAGTTTAATGTGCACTCTGCAAACAGAGATGTGTTCTAACACTAGTTCTCAGATTTCCATTTTATGAGTTTACCTGCATTATAATGCTTTCGTATAGAAAATTCTGGCACCACCATTGTAACTGAGAAATTTTTATGCGCATTATGTAGGAGCACTCCTCTTGTGCCACATGGACAGGAGCTGTGTCCTGGAGTGATGTTTGTTACTGCACTTCATGGGGTAAAGATGGGCAGGTTTGGATTCCCTGTCTGCAGCCACATTCCAGGGTACACACTGAGACAGCAGGGGGTGTTCAACCTGGAGAAGAAATTACTCCAGGGAGACCTTGGAGCTACTTCCAGTGCCTCAAGGGACTCCAGGAGAGCTGGAGAGAGACTTTGGACATGGGCATGAAGAGACAGGACAAGGGGGAATGGCTTCCCACTGCCAGAGGGCAGGGTTAGATGGGATATTAGGGATGCATTCTTAACTGTGGGGCTGGTGAGGCCCTGGCACAGGCTGCCCAGAGAAGCTGTGGCTGACCCATCCCTGGGAATGTCCAAGACCAGGACAGGGATTGGAGCAACCTGGGATAGTGGAAGGTGTCTCTGCTCATGGCAGTGGATTTGGAACTGGGAGATGTTTCTTGTCCCTTCTAACCCAAACCATTCCATAATTCAATGAAGCCCCAGCGAGTGTTTTTCCCTTTTTCCATAGCAGTACACCTGCTTTAAACAAGTTTAAAGCAGCTGTTAAAAGAAAAGGATGTGATGTGTTAACCTGGAGTATCTTCATGTGTATTTACAAGAGCTGGCTTATACATGCCCAAACTATGTGGTCAATGGCTCATGTTCTGCCTTCCTCACCTCTGCTCACTGATAATCACAATCTGTCTGGTACTCTTAAATTGCTGTTTTCTGAAGCCGTCTCATGCTTGAAACTGGAAGACACTTAGCAGACAAACCTTCTCCTCATTTTTTTCTTTTATTTTTTTTCTCTCAAAAATGAAGATAAAAACACTTGGTTTTAAATCTTTTAACGTATCTAAGATCCAGAGTTTACCTAGACACCAAGTGTTTGTGGGTAGCCATAGTAATAAATTCCACCTGCATATAAACCAGCAAGGGAAGGACAGAGATAAATCACTGCTCCCAGCATTTACTCCCTGAAGGAGGAGACAGTGCAACCTGTTTACTTCCAGCTCAGAATCACTGGTTCAGCCTTCCTGAGCTTGGAGGTTTTTCTATCGTATTTATATCACACAATTTCATTTGCTTTGGGCTTTGAATATTTTATGAAAGTAGTGGGGAAAAATGTAACTTCATATGAAAAGAAAAACAAAAGCATGCCAACTTGCACTCCCAAGTACAGTACTGCTACTGAATGGTGTTGGCATTTTCTGGACTTCTTCAGCAGCTGATGTAAAACCCCTCAAACCCACTGGCACAGCAGAGCCATCCATCCAGCACTTGAGACAGATCAGGCTGATCTTGAGTGTATTTTCTCTCTTAGTTCTCTTCGATATATGAATCTGCATTCTTGGAAGGTTCTTTAGATTATGAAGCATTTTGAGGCACTGAGTTCACAATGAATCACAAATTAGCAGTTCCTAAAAAATAATGTCAAGTAAAATCAGATTTCTTTTGCTGAAGTAATTGTTATTTTCAGAGGAAATGTGAATGTAACACGGACTCTCTGAAGCACCACGTGTTGAGGCCTTTGAGAATTCCTTAGAATGGATGTGATGTTTACAAAGGCCTAAATAATCATCTGGATAATCTTGCTGAGCCAATCTTAAATGTAGTGCCATCCACCTGGAAGGATATATTTGGAAGTATAAAAGACTTTATGTATTTGGGGTTTGTCATTGACAGTTGGAGCTCCAATATTTGCACAGTCGCTGTGTGAATGCTGAGTTTGTAAATCCCATTGAAGGAGAACCCAGATAATAACCAAGAGCAACAGTAAAAACAAAACAAAACAATAGGGAAACTCTCCTACTGTGTAATTAGTTTGAATAAGTTTGGTGGTTCTTATGTACATGGAGTGTAACTTCAGATGATCCCATCTGGGTACACAAGAGATAAGTAGTTCCTCAGAAATCAAAGGAGGTTAAATCTTATACAACTTCCATAATAGGAAAGTGTGGCCTTTATATCCAGAGGCTAAAATGGTTAAGCAAACATATAATATGGATTAAATGTCTTAATGTGACTTTGGATGTAAAAACAACGCATGAGAATAAACATTTGGGTTTTGATAAATTTAACCGTCCTCTCTTCTAAAAGCTCCCAGCAAGATAAAGCACTTAGACTAGTGAAAGTATTCTTTTTTTTTTTCCTTTTTCTAGATTAACATTTAATTTAAGACAGAAAACTCCCAGCAGGACCTCCTGTGAGACTCGGGAATGTCCCCCATGTCTTTGATCATCATTTCCCAGGAAAAAGCCTCTCCCTGCAGGGTGAGATGAGTTGTCCATTTTCCCTGGAGGAGCAGCTGGTGATTGGCCTGGCAGTGCCACAAACAGAACATGTTTCATGCATAACCATACACAGTACATTTGCTGCCTACATGAGAGAGATCTGGTAGCTCCCATGTGTCCAATCCAGCATCATCCATCCATGCCATCCCCAGATGGGCATGGCATCTCCTTTGCCCAGGGGATGGCAAAGCACCAGGAAGCAGCTCCCAGGCTGCCCTCCCAATGAGCAGCCAAAGATACTTCTGGGTGGACCAAAGGAGATTTGCCCAGCAGAGGCCAGGTTATGCAAATGGCTTGATTTTCTTGTTTCCTTCTCTTGCAGAACAGCACTTGACAAAGGGTTCATTTAATGCAATCTGAACCCTTGGTGTTATTGGAAAAGGGGTAAGCCAGCTGCGTGATCCAACACTTTGCAGTGTCTCCTCACAGCTCCCAGCAAATATAATTTTTCCTTAGTGGCTGAAACCCCTGTGACACACTGGAGCCCAGAGCTCTCACCAAAGATGGACAGACACAGAGCAAACTGCAAAATT